GGGGGGGCCCTCCACCTGCACCCGGAGCTGCGCCGGATCCTGCAGCCGCTGTGCCATTCCTGCCCTTCTCCCCCCAGGCGCAGGGAGGGTAGATTTGGGGGACGGGCAAGCCGGACGAGTCGAGTCGGGGGCTGCAGCAACGCCCCCCCCCCGAGGAACAGTGGCAGCCCCTGGGATGGTCCAGCTTGGAAAACGGCGGCGAGGAAGCAGGCAGGACGCAGGCGCAGAGAATGGGGTGGGGCGCACGGGGTGGGGGCCGGGCCGGGCCGGTCCTTCCCCGCAGCTCAGAGAATTGGTGGGAGATCCAGGACCGACCGACCGACCGGCCAAGGGAGGGGCTGCTGCTCCCCTGTGAGTCGCTGCCACAAGGCAAGGCATCACGGCATCCCCCCTTCGGGTCAGCTCCTAAAAGGGAGGGACTGGGCGAATCCGGGAAGACTGCTGAAGGGCACTAGTCCTCATGGCTGCACGCTGCCTCCAGGGCCAGAGCCCATCTGCCTGCCTACCCCAGGCACTGGGAACTGGGGCAGGTGGGCCTGTTGCCCCCGTATCCTGCCTTTGGAGGCCCGTGGGCAGCTGGTGGGCATTGGGTGATCAGGAAGGTGGCACTTCATCCCACTGCCAAACTTTCCAGCACAAGTTCCTTGATGCAGAAGGCAGAGCCCCCTCCTGTCCTGTCCTTCCCCATCCCTTCCTTCATGTCTGAGTGATTACAGCTAAGGGAACTTCTAAATACCTGTGCTGGTTATGAGTACCTTACTTTGATTCTAGTTGTGCCAGTGAAGGCCATGGAGGGGGGTCGGTTTCCAGGCTGTGACTGCAGAGGGATTGAATGTCACTGGTCAGTGTTGCAGGGATCAGATAAGCACAACTCCATGCGCACTTAGAAACAGAGAAACAGAGCATGTCAGAAGGGGCCTCCCAGGCCATCTAGTCTGACCCCCAGCTCCAGCCGGCTCCACTCATGACATGCCCACCACCCTCCCTGATGGGGCTCCAACCCCCTCCCATGGAAGCCCATTCCACACCCTCAGGGTCCTGACTGTCAGGAAGTGCTTCCTGGCATCCAAACAGAACCTGGGTTCCCTGAGCTTGGCTCCCTTGGAGCGCGTCCTGCCCTCCTCTGCAGGGGAGAACAGGTCTCGACCCACCTCCATGTGACACCCCCTCACATACCTGCATGTCGCCAACAGACCCCCTCTGAGTCTCCTCCAGGCTGAAGAGACCCCGTTCCCTCAGCCTCGCCTCATACAGTGTCCCCTGCAAACCGGCCACCAACCTCGTGGCCCTCTGCTTCTCCGATTCCAACTTTTTTTCCTTTCATCATGTTGCTCCTCCTTGGCTTTGGCCAGGGATTGTCCTGGGGCAACACAGACGCCCAGTCGCCGGCACCATCACCATGATGATGAAGGTTGGAACAGTGGATCAAAATTGTTCTCCCAGGCAGGAGCCGCTGACCCTTCAAGCCCTCACACAATGCCCAGTTCGGCCTGGAAGCAAAATGATTTACTAAGGTGAGTTCTCCAGATGTGCTGGACTCAGGTGGGGGCGATGGAGCTGGAGTCCGACACATCTGGCAAGGGTCTAATTGGGGAGGCCAGCTTAGATGAATCAGCACAAGGAAGCTTCATCAGCGCTTGGGGAAACTTGTCACCCTTCTTCCAAATACGGTCCTGCCTCCTGTTTGCTTTCTATTTTTGTGGCGTCTTTGTCAGCACAGAGAAAACAACGAAGGGAAGGAGCTGAGTCCACGAACAAGGAAGCCAGCTCGGTTTCGGGAGAGGTTGCTGCAGAAGGAAGCGCTCTGGGCTGGCTGTGTGGAGTGGGGAATAATTGCGAGGCAGAACATGGGAGGGTCCAGACGCAGGGAGCTGCCAGAGGTGTGCTGGAGCCCAGCAGAGTGACGACGGAAAAGGGCAGGGGTGATGCCAGTGCCCAAAACGAGGAAAGACCCGGCGGAGACCCTCCCGGTGCCAGAGGGGGACCCCGAAAGCCAACCGCTTGGACCAACACTGAAATGTTGCAAGAGAAAAAAAGTCTGTTTCAGCCTTCCCCAGCCGAATCCCCTCTGGAGGGGGATGGAGGGATAGATTTTACAGCGCAAGGACTTGTCGCAGCAGCTCCCATACAGGCACTCCCATGAATAACCCAGAAATACAAGCAGGGATGTTCATGCCTATCCACAAACCCGGCTTCTGTCTCCCCCAGAAACACGATTTTCAGGCAAGTGGGTCAGTGCAAGACCAAGCCACCTTTGCAGAACCTTCATTTCCCCGCAGCTGCTGTGAAATTTCCACTCGGCTGGGAGGAAACTGGGAATTCTGGGGACCGTGGCAGGTAAGATTAGCAATCTGGCTAGTAGAAAAGGGCAGGTGCTGCATTACGGCAAGTCCTGGTTCCACCCTACTGCAGCCGCTGGGTGTGCTGGACTGCAACTCCCATCATCCCCAGCCAGCATGGCCAACGCAGCCCATCCGGAGGGCACCAGGATGCAGAAGAGGACTCTGTCAACCATGTCTGTGCTATGCCCTGTTTTATAAGCTGCCGACACGGGTGGGCAGCGTCTCTGGTCCTGGCTGGCTGGATCAGTCCCTGGGGACCGTGGCCCCGAGCAGAAAAACCTCCCTGCTCCCTGCTGCAGCGCTGCTTGTCTAAAAAAGGTCTCTGGCTAACGGGGCAGGATAGAACCCTAATAAACAGCAATAAATGCCCTACTTTGGCTTCCTACAGGAACTGCTCCGCCCACAATCATTTTGATTCCCTTGTTTTCCGTCGTTTCCAGATGGGGCAACCTGGATGCGAGGCGCTATTTTAAGCATCGTTGCAGAAAAGCTTCACACCAGTGCCAGTTTTATTTCCAGTCCTTTCCTTATCCGTTCTTCATGGAACATTCTCTCTCTCCTCCTCCTCCTCCTCCTCTCCTCCTCCGCCTCTCCCTCTCCCTCGCTCTGCTGCATGCCAATAATAAAGGTGCAAATGAAGCTTGCTCCGTGGACTGGCAGCGGCTGGGCTGGTGGCCCTCGTGTTCTCAAGTGCTGGGAGCCCCACAGCCAGAGGCGCGGAGAATGTGGGGCCCCTTCCTTCGGAAAATGGAAGCATCAGGAAAGGGCGATGCGCCCCAGAATTCGGTGGCAGACCTTGGCAGGTGGGAGGAAGGGGCAAAAAGAGGTGGGGGGGAAGCCCAGTTTCACCTTTACAGAGCCCCCGAATGGGTAGCACCGAAAGCAGCAGGAACGTCTCGATTTTAAAATGTGGCTAGTTCAAAAAACAAAAGCAGCCTATAAAGACTGGTTTGTTTATATAAATAAATGAAAAAATAAATAATAACGCCATTTTCCCTCCAACTGTAAACATGCCGTTGTGCAATTAAAAATATGCCATACGAACATATCTTGCAGTGGAAAAACACCAAGGAGCTTCGGGCGCCTTCATGTCTTTGTTTTTGGAGTGGCCGAATCCTGCACAGCTGCTTCCTCTACGTTCTATGTAAACTGGGCTTTCAGGTCAGCGGTCTATATCAGTGTTCCCCAACCTGGTGCCCCCCAGATGCGTTAGACCACGACCCCCATCAGGGCCAGACCACGCCCACACACCTGCAGGGCACCAGGTTGGAGAATGCCGTCCTCAGCCTCACCGCCGTGAGTCCCTTTGGCGCCACCTGGTGGCCGTGGGCGCTCAGCGCATCATTCCAGGCGAGAAGCGGCCCGTTTTTCCTGCGATGGCAACAACAGGCCGATTCGGGGGAGAGGTGGGTCTGAGGAGAGGAAAGCCTTCCTCATCTGCCCCGAAGCTGAGCCAGGGGACGCGCTTCTGCAAGACGCATGATGCAATTAAACCAAGACATTCGTTTCTTTGCTCCTGGTCCTTGTGGCTACCTCCCATATTTATTTATTTAGAGTATTTGTCCCATCACATCGCCTCGGGACGGCTTACATAAAATAAAACAAAACATAATACAATCCAGATTCACCCTGGCCGCAGATTAAAACCTATAAACTGATGTTAAAAGTTATTAAAATATTGCTGAAATAAAAAGGTCTTAGCCTGGCACCGAAAAACAAGTAACGACGGCAAGTAACGACCTCTCTGGGGAGCGCATTCCACAGATGGGGCGCCACTGCAGAGAAGGCCCTCCTCTGGGTACTTTGCCTCCTAATGTCTTTCCCGGAGGGTTCCCGGAGGAGGCCCTCTGCTGCCGATCTCAGGGGGCGGGAGGGCAAATAGGGAAGGTGGTGTTCCTTTAGGTATCCTGGTCCCAAGCCGTTCATCCGTTATCAAGGGAAGGATTCCAGATGTTGATGGGTCTCAAGTCTCTTTTAGCCCAGGAGCCAAATTCCAGCTCACATGAGTTTTCTGGGGCCATGTCCAAAGGGGGCAGGGCAAGGGCTGAAAGGGTGGGGCAAAACCCTGGCATATTGAACCCTCCTGCTGCCAGTATATCAAGCTTAGGGCTGGGGTGTGCAAAGGGGGGGGAACTCTTGAATCACTGGAAGGGGGGAAGGGGTAGATCTGGTCCCCAAGTCTGCTGCTCTGCACCCCAATTTGAAGAGCACGGTCCCCGAGGCCGGGGTCTAACTGCCCAACCGCAGCACTTCCCACGGGGCATCTTGGAGGGACCGATCCTTCCGCTTCCCCGCCGGGTCCGTGGATATCCTAGTGGGTGGGTGCAATCACGGGCCTGGGGAGGGGCAGATGCCTCCTCGTCTGCGGCCTCATCCTTCCGCAGTCATGCTCACCGCCTTGTTCTTGCTCGTCAACCCCGAGCAGAACCAAAATATGCGAGTTGGGGGGGTTGCCCTGCTGCAAAATGAAGCGGCAGAGGGACTCCCATCAGTGCATGGGGCACTAGACAGGAGGGCTGGAGGGCCTCTGCCCCAAGGAACATACAATCTGAACATTCAGCTCCGGGTCCAGGAGAGGAGAGGAGGAAGGCAGTGGCGAACAGGCGAACAGGAACACTGCTCAGAGGTGCATCTCTGGCTTCAGTACAGCAGGGCAGAAGCAGGTGACTTGGGACCCTCCAGGTATTTTGGACTACTGCTCCCATCACCCCCAACCCTCGTGGCCTAAGGGGGTTGTGGTCCAAGGCCCCTGGAAGGCACGAGGGTAAAGTGACCGGGGCTATGCAGCAAAATGGGGTGAGTTGCGGAGGGATTCGGAGAAGGAAGGCCCCCCAGAACTGATGTCTCCACACCTGTGCTGCCCCGTCTCTTCCGGGCATCTTGGGCACCATCTTTCTGGTGACGCTCCCTGAGAGCTTCGACCATTGGACTGTACGGACATGGATAGATAACTCCAGCATCCCCAGCAAAGGTGGCTGAGGATCATAGGAGCTGTTGTCCCACACGTCTGGGCCGGGCCAGGTTGAGGAAGGCTGCCAAGCACATGGGAAGGATGTGCGATTACAGCACATCATTTGGGGGTCCAGAAGGTCATCTAGGCTGACCCAATGAGTGCTTTCTTTGAGGGCTTCCCAAGACACTTGTCCCCATCCTCTTCTTCTCCTGTGTGGGCCACCCACTTGGTTTTCAGATGATCATCGCGGGGGACCAAAATCTACCGGGGGGGAGGCATTTAGCTTCTCCCCTCTCCACACACTCCAAACAGGCACGCTAGATCCTCCGGGAGCCCTCTGGGAGAGACATCAGGAAGCAAAGCACCCGGAGGAGGGCCTTCTCTGCGGTGGCGCCCCATCTGTGGAATCCGCTCCCCAGAGAGGTCCGCCTGGCGCCATCGTTATTTGTTTTTCAGCGCCAGGTTAAGACCTTTTTATTCAAACAATATTTTAACAATGTATATTTACAGGTTTTAATTGTGCAGCCAGGGTGTTTCCGGGTTTTAACTGTATTTGTATTATATTTATTTATTTGTGTGAGCCGTCCTGAGGCTATATAGCAAGGGGACAGCATACAAAAGCTTTAAATAAAATAAAAATAAAATAATAAAAATAGTAGTAAAGGCATCCATCAACAAAAGCATTCCAGTCAAGGAGTATCCCAGGTACATCTCTGGTTTTGATTCTGGGTTTAGCCTCATTCCAGAGTGAATGTTTACTTCCCCAAGGCCAAATCCACCAAAGGAAAGGATGGAGGAGACAGAGTAATCATTACTGATAAGGATCAGAGGTTACTCCAGAACGGTTCAGATTACTCAGCATGAGGGTCTTGCTGGCGCCCTCCTGATCTGTTGGCCTTCAATGCCCATCATCCTTGCTGGCTGAGGTCTAAAATTTCTGGAAGCCGCAAGGTTGGGGCAGCTATGCTGAGGGATGCCCAGAAGTCTAGCCCAAATCAGAAGGTAAAACCTGAACTAAGATATCCCTATGGGCTTTTGTCTATAATACTGGAAGATGGTGTCTGTCTGTCCATTGATTCGTCTGTCTTTCAGCACCATAGGGCCAAATCCACAAATTCTGACTCCCGAAACTTGGCATGCAGACTTAAGGGAGGGTTTGCTCCGCAGGGTTATCTTACTTTTAAAAGAGCAGTTCAGCAAAAGCAGGATGAGGCCGACATTGCGGGGGGGGGGGGAGCAGGCCAAGGGACAAAGCTGTACAAACACTCGTTTTCTGCCCCCACAAGAATCCTGCATCAGCAAGCAGCTGGCACAGTCTTTATTATCTATTTTTATTGGTTTATTTGCACTACTTCTGTATCACAAAGAATTAAGGGGAATTCTTGAGCAGTGTCCGTACAAATCATAAACCAGAGAGGTCTGCCTGGTGCCGTCGTTATTTGTTTTTTGGCGCCAGGCGAAGACCTTTTTATTTAAGCGGCATTTTAACTGTTAATATTATTGGATTTTACCTGGCCAGGGCGGCTTATTTTATATTGTATTTTTGTATTTTTAATCTAATGTTTATATTTTTAATTTAATATTATAATTATTTTTAATTGATTGATGTAAGCCGCCCCGAGGCTTCGGCGAATGGGGCGGCATAAAAATGTTTTAATAAATAAATAAATCATAAATGCACACAATCGCATTGAAAACAACAATTTGAAAAACAACACCTCCAGAACATTAATACTCCATAATACACAATACTTGATACTGTATATCGTGGGGCAGCATTGTTTAGTTTTGCAGCAGGGAGAGTTTGTGTGAATGAGAGTTTCCAGGCGGCATGTGAAAGATGTGACATTTTCTGAAGCTTGACTTGCGCAAGGTTTTATCCCCCCCACAAGGTGGGGGCCACCACCAAAAAGACCTGCTGTCGAAGTATTTCACGGCAACACCCCAACACTTCTGAGTTGACCAGCTAGGCCTCCTCGGACCATGTAAGAGGGAAGAGGGTCGTATGAGGGAAGGGGGCTTGCGGTCTTGCGAATTCTGCCCGCTAACCGCGTCCAGGGTGCTTCACAGGACACAACGGAGAGCATTGTACCCACAGACGCCTGCGCAACACGCTTCGAGACTGCGGCCGCACAAGGATGCGTGCAAGCGTCTGAGCGCTCTGCAGGAACCCCGTGGCGCCCGCCTTCCCAAACCGGCACGCAGAGAAGGTCAGCCAGCTCAGCTGCGGGCGGCTGCCGGTCCGATCCCCGTTTCCACTCTGCCGCTCTTCGCTCCCCACATCCTATTACGGTGTCGCGAGAGAAAGTAGTCGCTTGCACGCGCGTGGCCTTATCTACTCCAGCTGCGCTCCAACCCAGAACCGAAATGGATTTAATTATTTTACTTAATTAATTTTAATTTAATTAATTTTAATTTAAATTTATTAGATTTAAATGGATTTAATTGGCGTAGTTACTACTCAGGGCCGTCGTAACAGCTTTATGGGCCCCGGGCAAAGCAGTGCACTGGGGCCCCTACGACAACTACAACCGCTGTTAATTTGGGAAGTTTTCCCATTTTCCAGGGGTTAACACACACAGATTAGCATGGGGCCCGCGGGCACGTGCCCATCAGGCCCACGCGTTCAGACGGCCCCGTGACTACTTGACACTAAACATCGTCAAGGGGCAACGAATTTGTCCTACGGCAAGAAAGCTGGGGAAACAGAGCATGCCCCGGCCAGCATAGCGAGCAGGCCTACAACTCCCGGCGTGCCCCGGGCAGCGGAGGGCGCGGGCCTA